CGTGGATTAGAGTAATCCGGTTTGAGCTTTCTAAGTCTCTTCTTTTCAATTGCTTTTCATTACTTTGTATTGTGTTGTACCTGGAATTTGGGTACAAGTTTTCTCGCAATTGTTGTAGAAAGTTGCCAAGAACTGGAATTTGGTTCTTGGTGGAAAGGTTAAAGCAAGAGCCGGAATTTGGTTCTTGTGTGTGGTGCCCGGAATTTGGGCACTCGGTTTCTCTCGCTGCTGGAATTTGGTTGCAGAGGTTTCCAAGAGCTGGAATTTGGTTCTTGGTGGAGAGTTAGAATAGGTGTAAGAGGGTGAGTCTCGTAAAACATCTATTCTAGTGGAACCCACTGGAATTTGGTCGGAGACTGGACGTAGCCCTGGTATTGGGTGAACCAAGTATAAAATTACCGATGAAATCTTTCCTAACCTTTCTCTCTTTAATTTCAGTTGCTGCGCTTATATTGTTTGATTGCTTGGTAATTCAAAAAGATTTTTAGAAACTTAATTTTCGAATTAGATAATCTGTGTATTGCGAAAAACTTTCAAAAATCAATTCACCCCCCCTCTTGATTTAAAACTACTTTTCTAACAGGAAGGAGCCTCAATAAATAGATCACCATTATTTGAAGGAGAAGACTATCAGTTTTAGAATGTGAGAATGAAAATATTTTTACAGACACTAGATTATGGTGTTTGGGATGTTTTACTCAACGGTCCCTACATTCCGATGAGAACAACAGAGTCTGGAGCTGTTCCAAACACTTTTGACCAATGGACGCCAGATGAAAACAAGCGTGCCTAATATGATGTAAGAGCTCAAAACGTTATTGTTTCTACCTTAACTCGTAATAAATTTTTCAGGGTCTCACAATGCAAGATGGCAAAAGAAATATGGGACACTCTTGAAGTGACATATGAAGGAACAAATGAAGTAAAGCGAGCATGTAAGAACACACTCATCCAGGAGTATGAATTGTTTCAAATGCAGCAGAATGAAAGCATCACGAATTTTCATACACGCTTCACGCATATAGTAAATCATTTGAAAGCGTTAGGAAAGAGTTTTGATAATGAGGAGTTGAACACAAAGATCTTGAAATCCTTAGACAGGAATTGACAACCAAAGGTCACTGCTATTATAGAATTAAAGGATCTCACATAAATGAATATTGCTACTCTATTTGGAAAGTTGCGAGAGCATGAGATGGAACTACAAAGGTTAAAGAACAGTGAACAGAACCAAGTCAAGACGATTGCTCTAAATACAGTAAAAACTTCACAAGATGAGAGTGAAAATGAAGGTAAGTTTTCAGATTTCGATATATCTCTTTTAGCTAAACAGTTTTCTCGTTTTATGAAGAACAGAAAAAAGAGACAACGAAAGAAAAGAAAAAACTAATAGGTACGAGTGCTATGGATGTGGAAAACTTGGTCATATCAAACCAAACTGTCTAAAACTTAAGAAAGAGAAGAAAAATGTGAAAGAGAAGAAGAAAGAAAAGAATGGTATCTATAAGAGCAAACACAAATCTTATATTTCTTGGGAGGATAATGATTCTTCCATAACACAAGAGAGTTCTTCCGAAAGCAGTGATGAAGAAGAAGAAACAAATCTTTGCTTAATGACAAAGAGTGATAATGAAGTCTCATCATAAGTAAGTAGCACAAAATCCTTAAATGCATATGATGAGTTACATGAAGCATATCAAGAAATGTATGAAGGTTTTAACATGTTAGCTAAGAAATACACTACACTTAAGCAAAAATTTCAAGCATTAGAAAATATTGTAGGTATTCTTGAGAAAGAAAATGAGTGCTTAAAGAAAGATGTTGAGAAATTTAAAACTTTGGCTAAAGATAAAGAAGTAGTTCATCCTTGTGAAAATTGTAATCATTTGAAAAATGAGATTTTCAAGTAAGAGAAAATAATGAGCAAGTTTTCAAAATCTTCTGAAAATCTGGATTCTATGTTAGGTTATCAAAGAGTAGATTCTAGTAAAGCTGAACTTGGTTACAAACCCAAAGAAAGTCTAAAACCTTATAAAACTATCTTTGTGAAAGAGTAAAGGAAAACAGATGAAAAACCAGCTTTCAAAAACTTTGAGAAACTCATTTAAACCTCTTCAAAGAAAATCAATATGTTTTTATTGCATGAAATTAGGTCATACATCAAATAGATGTTACATAAAACATTTTGGCATATTTAATGGCAAATATGAATGGGTGCTTAAAGGAACAAAACATTTATACATGTCTAGATGATAGTTTGAGCATCTAATAGATTATGAATTTTCGAAAAAAAAAAAATCTCTGTCATAATCTATTATATTATTTCTGTATATGTTGTCATAATCAATTATTACAGAAAACTTTTGAAAGTTTGAAAAAAAAAATTAATCTATTATATTATGGTTCTATTCTTTTATTATTAGTCTTTTGGCAGAGACTTGTGATTCAACTAACTTTTTTAAGGACCCAAAAATAATTAAAGGGTACCTAGATTTGTATGTTGATATTGCAGGTTATTGGAGTTAAATGGGTGTACATGAACAAGTTGGATGAATATGAAAATATCACAAAGATAAGTTTATTCTTGTCTCTCATGCATCTGCATTAAATATCTGCCACATAAATTCGATTGTTAACCAACTTAGAAATTTGAAAGTTTGAAATTTGAAAGTCTGACTTTTGAAAATTTGAAATTTGAAAGTTTGAATTTTAAAAGTTTTGAAATTTGAAAAGTTGAAATTTGAAAGTTTTAAAATTTGAAAATTTGAAAGTTTGAAATTTGATGTTTAAATTCAAAATTTGAAGTTTGAAATTGGAATTTAAAATTTGGAATTTGAGTGAATTTGAATTTGAAAGTTGCCTTAATAAGAAGATTGCAATTTGGGGAAACTACTGCATTGCATTCCATTATTTCTGCAATCATTTCATTCCCTTATCTTTCTCTCTCTTTATTTGCCTTTGGTATCCTAGATATTGTCTCCTTAATATGATGTTCTTCTCTATGACACTTTTTGATGCATTATCTTCTCTGCTTTGATTTATATGTACTACTCTGTGCAAATTTGTGCTCAATTTCTATTGCAATATTTTCATAATTATCAATGAAACAGGGAGAAATTTGGATGATATTAATATGTGTGAAACAGGGGGAGATTTTTTGATGAATTAAAATCTGTATGAAATCTATTCCTAATTATGAATTAAAGAGGGGGAGTTAGGAGAAGTTTTGCTCAGATGAGTTAGGGGGAGCTTTGTTATTAATATATCTAGGGGGAGTTTAAATATACTGTGATATGTTAACATATCTAGGGGAGTTTAAATTTCATTAATTTTATTAGAAAAAGGAGGATATAAATCACACTAAACTCAATTCATTAATTTGTGTTTCGTAAGTAAAAGTGCATTGATTTTTCCAATTCTTTTTATACTAATCATAACTTCAATTTCTCTTAATCTATGTTTTTTAAAGACAACTCATTTCCTAATTTCTTAAAAAATTTGAAAAGAGCATGGGTAGATTTATAATTAATTAATTTGTCATGTCCATGTGTTTTTTTTTTTGTTTGTTTAAGAGTGAAATAAGGAGAATTAAACCTTATTTATTCATGAAAGATAGATTTAAATCATCTATACATAGACTAATTATAACTTTAATTATTCATAATTTATTTTAAAGAGACTAAAGTCTACAAGTAAGAGATGTAAGTCTAAACACTGATAATAAAGTTAACGTAAATAATAATATTTTAATTCTTTTTTATTTATTAGACATTATTATAAGTCATCTCAACTATTGATTCGTGTTTTGTAAATAAAGATTTATTTTTATTTGATGGTGTGATAAAAAAAGTTTAATAAAAAATATTTGGTTGTCCAGATCAAATGTGACATGTAATATATGTAAGTCCTGTGTGAAACCACTAAATCGCTAAACTAGTTAAGACTATCAATTACATCATTTAATTATACACATATTAATAATAATAATAATAGAAAATAATTTTAAAATTTATTTTAAGAAATTAATTAGCTCATATATATATATATATATATATATATATATATATATATATATTATTTTTAAAGATAACTCACTTTCTCATTTTCTAGAATATTTGGAGAGAATATGTATAGATTTATGATTAATTAAAGATGATTTTTCCCATTATTTTCTTTCATTGAAACTTAATTAATAGACGAGAAAATAAATCTAATTTTTTCATTAGAAAAAGGAGGATATAAATCACACTAAACTCAATTCATTAATTTGTATTTCGTAAGTAAAAGTGCATTGATTTCTCTAATTCTGTTTATACTAATTATAACTTCAATTTCTCTCAATCTATGTTTTTTAAAGATAACCTATCTTCTAATTTCTTAAAAGATTTGAAAAGAGTATGGATAAATTTATAATTAATTAATTTGTCATGTTCGTCTGCTGTTTTTTTTTTTTGTCTAAGAGTGAAATAAGGGAACTAAACCTTATTTATTCTTAAAAGATAGATTTAAATCACAGTAAAATTAACCCATTGATTCATGTTAGATAAATAAAGATACATTATTTCTTCAAATTTTATTTTATAAATTATCGTTATATTCTATACATAGACTAATTATCACTTTAATTATTCATAATTTATTTTAAAGAGACTAAAATGTAGAAGTAAGAGATGTAAGTTTAAACACCGATAAGAAAGCTAACGTAAATAATAATATTTTAAATTTTTTTATTTATTAGACATTATTATAAGTCATCTCAATGTTTTATAAATAAAGATTTATTTTTATTTTTTTTTATAAATTATAATAATATTATATACATCCACTAATAATACGCAAACAATACTATTTTAATTCTTTTTCTATTTATTATACATGAGTATAAATAAGATAGAATTTATAAATTTTTTATATCATTTAAAAATTGTGCAAAAGTAAAATTCAAATATAAATACGAGTGCAGTTGTTTTTTTTCCTTAAAAAAGTAAAAAAAATGTGACGGTCCAGGCAGGCTAGGCTCACCCGACCATTTGGGGTTGTGGAGAAAGTAGCCTGCAATCCCTCCACCGTTGGGAGAGGGAGGTGGTCGCTGCTCTGTGAAACCAGTCTCACGCTGTGCCCTCCACTCTAAGAGACAAGAGAGCAAAGTGTTCACTAAGGTCTCCAGACTCAACTCTCAACTTGGAGTGGACAAGCTAACATGTTCCAACCACAAACCCAGCCTAGGAAGGCGCAGTGCTGTTCCATCAAATTAGGGCTCCCACTTGGGTCACAAGCTGAAGTGACTCAACTCAGCAATCCACCACCATTGTGAGTATAGTTATAAATACACTGTTGTTTTTTTCTCTTTTGAATATGGGACACAAGTAAGACAAGGTTTTGCATTTTAGTACTAACAATTTCAAAGAGCTCGTGCCTTTCTCTACTTTTGCGTGGATGAAATATAGAAAAAATTGGATTAATTAGGAGAAAAGAAAATGGACCTTAATTTCTACTTTATGCTCTGGTATGAAGTGAGCCCTATTAAACTGTGTTTGACAGTTTTGCTTGACTTCAAATATAATACATGTGATTTTTCTCTGCAGCTTTTTATTATTTACAAAATATCTTTTTTATTTCCATTTCAGAATGCAATACTGAATAATAAGTATAAAAGACAGCAATGAATGTCAAAAACATTAGTGAGAATTATCATTTCACAACTGGTGTAAGATACAACTTTCATAAGTTAAGAAACCACAAGAAGAATACAACACCACGATACAGAACACTACATTTTCATTTTATTAATTACTATCAGAGCTTCAGATTCTTGTCAGAGTCCTGACAAATGTGAGACTTTATCAGTTGTGTCAGCTGCTCCTCCAAGAATTCAGAGTTACAGATCTGTCTTTCTCCTGAAATCATAACTCAGAGCTTAAGTAAACTCCTCTCAATATGTTTTGAATTTATTTCAAGACACGGCATTACTAGCTACACAACTGGGTTCTACATTCATGGATCATATTCATCATCTACAAAAAGATTCTGGACAGACCTTAGATGTTACAAAACATAGAAGGTTTACTTAGAAGGATGATTTGTCTAACCAATACTAGGCCAGATATATCCTATGCTGTTGGTAAGCTAAGTCATCCTCTTGATTACTCTACTGTTGCTCATTATCAAACTTCTCTCATGCTATTGAAGTACGCTAGAATTTCACTACGAAAAGGACTTTGCTTTACTGCTGTGTCAGATTCAGATTGGACCTCCTCTGTTGACTCTAAAATATTTACTTCTAGTTTCTGTTTTCATATGAGAACATAATATACTAGAGAAAACATGAAAAAATATACGGTATCTAGATCATCAGGGACTGTAAATCCTAGTTTGTTAATGAATGAAACAAATACATTAATATTGATTGAGACACTGAGAGATAAAGTTCAATAAGGCTCTCTTCATTGGATACCTATCATTTCCAAGGAATTTTACTTCATCCACGGTTGGATCCGTTTTGGTACTATCACTATCATAGTCTTTAGCGACATTGGCTTGAGCCAAATCTCCTCCTTAAAAACCTGTTTGATATGCCAAATTTGCTTATTAAAAAATCTTCTTCAATGTATGAAGTTATAAATTTAAAGATAGCAAATTTTAGATTAAGAATGAGTACTCTTGGCGATGAATAAAATGTTTTGATAAAATGAATTAGTAACGTGAAAAAATGAATAATAATAATAATAATGTAAAGGATGAATAATTAAACTGATTTGATAGGATGCACCAATCTCTTGTAATAGTGCAACACAAGAGTGATGCTGGAATCCCAATAGCAAGCCATTGTGATGGATTCCCTCCCTAAAAAATTAATTTAATATCGTGTGAACCAATGGCCCACATATCAGATATTAAACTGATAAGAACAGATACTACACTTGATCTTAGCCAAAAGGCCGAGAAAGGTATACTTAAAAGGATGTAAGCGTTGAGTTTTTATGTTCTGAATTCAATTTGCTTGTCAGAGTCCTGACAAATGTGGGACTTACTTAGTTGCATAAGATGTTGACAGGTGGGTTCAAATACTTCCTTTATATTCTTATATGGAATAAGTTTACGCGAATATATTACTAACTAACGTGTTGTTTCTTTTCATAAAATTCCAAGTTTAGTATTGAATACCTCAAAATTGGTCAAAGAGAGCCTTTGAAACAAATCAGCATGACAAGCTTGAAACTTTGTTCAGTATCTTCTAAAAAATGTATAAATTAAGCTTGTTATTTTGTATCAATGTCAGTGCAGCTACTTTTGTCTGGATTGTTGCTGAATAAGAAATGAAAATGAGAATAGTAGAGTTTTATCATATTTCACATGTATATGATGAGAAAGAACTGCATAAACATGTTAAAGCCTCATGCATGAGAACAAGCACACCGCATCGAATGACTGACTTTCCATCATACAAAGCAGCCTTATGTGACCAGTGATGAAGCGTTTGTTAATATAAAAGACATAGAATCTGATGAAGCGTTTAAATATTGTACTGAATTGACAGTACTATCAACTTCATTCATGGGAGAGAGTTTTGTTGAGTTTTTGATACTTTGTGTTTTAAAGTTCAGAGAAAAAATGGTGGATTTTGAGAAAATCTAGTCGTTAGTCATGGTAATATTCATTATCTTTTAAAAAAGTGTTATTTTGGTTAATGTTTTTGTGATGAATAAAATTGTTATGACTATTCTATTTCAGTAAGCAAGATTTCCTTGGTCTTGAAATTGAAAACTAACATGCAGACATGAAAGATTTTGGTGATATCATGATGAAAGACAGAAAAATGGACGAGAAAGCTTTCCCCGTTGAAGTGAAGAAAAAATTCGGGTACCGTTGGGTATCTACAACTATCAAATTCAACAATTATGCAGGGAGATCATGTATATTGTGAATAATACAGTCAAACTTGATTTCTGTAATGTGTAATTATTATGGGAAAATTATGAAAAGAGAGTTCTTAAAACTATGAAAAGAGAGTTCTTACTGTCAAAATATTTAATAACAAAGAAATATAATGTTGTATCTAGTTCTAACTCATAGCTAACCTAATAACTTTTTTATCATGTTAGGGTTGATACCTAATATGAATAATAAAAAAAAATGTAGATCATATAACCATACTCACGTTGAATTTTCAAAAATAAATTTAGTCTATGCGACAATATTTTTTTCTCTTGTATGTTTTATCCTTTCCCTCCCATGTAACATTTTTTCTTCTTTCATGTTTGTCACTGTTTTTTCCATTATTATTGTTCTACATCTAATTCTGTCTACATTTTTTATTTGCGGAGGGAAATCACTTTTCTCCTCTTTCTCATCATTTATTTAGCTCATACTCTCTAATTATATTTATTTTCCCTTTTTCTATTTCTTTTTCTTTCTTTTCTTCTATTTCATTTTTTTATGTTTCCATTTTAAATAAATAAAAAGTTAAAATTTGTACAATTTATTTTTCCTTTTTTTTCTCTCTAGTTTTATTTTTTAAAAATTTATGTTTTGTTTATCTATTTCATTTTTCTCCTTTATGAAGCTATGGAAAAAGAAAATTCTTGGAGTCAAATATCATCTAATTAAGAAAAAGAAGATAATATTTCCTACGGTTATAGGATTCTTAAAAATATTAGAGAAAAATTATAAAAATTATTTTAAGAAATAAAAAAAAAAAAATATATATATATATATATATATTATTATTAATGCGGTTTATCTTCTTATTCCTAACAGATTTTAAGATATATAGATAGAATTCGGATTAATAAGGATTGTCTTAATCCATGTATATGTTGTTTTTGTTTTGTTGTAACTTAATTAATTATGAAATAAGGAAAAATTAAACTTGATTTAGTCTTAAAGATGAAGATAGAAATCATGTTAAGTTGCATGGTGCACACTAATTAATTATAATATCAACTGCTTTGCAGTTGAAAGGATAGAAGGACCTTTTTATTAAATTAATGTAATTTGTTTTAATTATTTTTGAAATGGATGAATTTTTTAAAAATTCTACGTATGGGTAAGTTGCATTTTGAGATATAACTTCGTAATAAAAACTTTGTGGTCTAAAACACAATTTTGCGTTTTTTTTTTTTTATCACAAAAAAGTCATAGGTACATATACGACCTCCTCGTACCCAAAAATTTTTTCGATGTTTTTGTGACATTTTCCTCTAATTCATGACTTTAGTAGAGTTATTTTTTTGTTGTTATTTTATCAGTGACGTTAGTTCATACATGTAAGTTAGGTTAGTTTATTATTTTTAGTTATTAAAAGTTTTATTTTAATGTTTATAAAATTAATAAAATAAATGATTAATAGGTATTAAGACATCAATAATATTAAATAATTTTTAAAAATATTAAATTATTAAAAAAATATTATTGTGTTAAGTAAAAATAAGTTAAACACATGTTAAAAACAAGTACAACATATATTAAAATGTCAATAATGTAAAAAATGATATATTTTACTATCTATTAAAGTGTATGTTATGAAAATTGAGTATATTTATTTTACTAAAGTAAAGGAGATACATAATTAAAGTTTATATATATTGAATTCATTAAGTTTTCATAACGTTGATGGATGAGTTTGTTTAAATGTGTGTAACTATATCTAACATGATTCGGTTGACAATTATTTAATCAAGTTCAATGATTTAAATTATGTTGATTGACTTGAAATGATCCAGTTTTCAACTAGGCGTTATGGATTTAAACCTTGTATTGATAATGGATGAAAAACCCCCCACCCATTATGGAGACCAGTACAAAAGCTAAAAGGTTTTTTAATGATGCTTGGAAGTGATATAATAAATTAGCATTGAACTTGATGAGATTCCCTATTGCTGAAAATGTTAAGCCATCTATGTCTAAAACTGATAATGCTAAGAATTTCATGAATTTGGTTAAAGATTTCTCGCAATCTAACAATACTGACAAGTGAGCTTACAAACAAAAGGTTTGATTAGTCTCAATCAATTCATGATCATGTGACTGAAATGTCTAATCTGGTAGCAAGATTGAAGTCTATGGGAATGAAAGTGAGTGAGTCCTTCTTATTGTAGTTCATTTTGAACTCCCTTCTTGCAGAATTTGGCGAGTTCCTGGTGAATTAGAACACTCTTAAAGAAAAATGGAGCTTTTAGGAAGATAAGGCCATGTTAGTTTAGGAAGATAAGGCCATGTTAGTTTAGGAAGAAAGGAGTTTAAAGAAAATGAAGGACAATTTTGTTCATCTTGTGACTCATGATGGAGTCAGTGACAATAAGAGGAAGTCGGGTAGAAAGGATAAGGGCAAGACCTAATTGAATGTTAATGAAGGTAAAATCCATAAGGATAAGGTAAATTTTTAAAAAAAAATTGGATATGGATAAGTTGTATTTTGAGATACAACTTCATAATAAAAATATCGTGATATGCAATGATAGCATCATTATGATCAATTTCTATACCCGGTGGTGGGTTAAAAGAGGACTTGTTTAATACATTTAAAATTTAATAATGAGAACTTGTTTCACAATGTGGTCTTCTAATATTACCTCTTGGTCTTTCTCTTTGATGGGTACTTGTTTTTGCGATGAAACGTTTATTTTTTTTATTATTATTATTATCTTCATCTTCATCAATATATGTAGGCATGGCAACGGGGTGGGAGTGGGTTTTGTCTTTCCGATCCCCACCCCCGATGTCCGCCGATGTTAGAAATTAAGTCCACATCTCCGTCCTCGTTGGGTTTCGGTTTTCTCGACTCGCCCGTCCCCGATCTATATTATTTTTAAAAAGATAATTATATTTATAATAAACTAATTTTACTATGTATTTTTTATATATAAATAAATATTTATAATTTTATAATTTATAATTATTATTAATTAAATATATTTTTTAATTTATCATGTTTATATTAAAATTTGCATATAAAAGAAATATTTAATCATTTTTTATTTTATATATTTAGAGTATTTATAACATTATTATTATTATTATTATTATTATTATTATAACATTGTGTTCAAACATTTTAATACTTATAACATTATTATTATATTCAAATATTTGATTACATATATAAGTTAATTTATTTTTAAGTTGTCATTTAAAAATATGAAATACATAGTTTATAAGGAAATATTTAATAAATTAATTCTTATTTAATTAGTTCGAAGTAATAAAAGCTTAAATTATCAATCTTTTTATCCTTTAAAATACAATTATTTTATTAAGATAAAATTTGATATATGACAAATAAGAATAATAAGATCCAAAAAAATATGACATAATAAAACCTAATAAATATAAATTATAAATAAAATAATATTAGTTACTATTAAGATTTATGTAAAATATTTAGAAAAAAAATTAGCTTTGTGTTCATCAAATTAGTTGAAAAGATTAAAAAAAAAAACAAATTGATTGGAGTGAAAGGAAATGTGAAAAACTGAAAGGTAAGAGATAGAGAATAATATAATAAATTACTTGATATAAAAAATTAAAAAAGACAAAAAATAAATAAAAGTGGGTAGAAGAAAAGTAAAAATAGTAAAATATAAAAAACTGACATTATATGTAATAGAAAAAGAAAAAGAAATAATTTTAAAATATTAATATTTTAAAATTTAAATATAAAGGTCGGGGCGGGGACGTGGGTATGGATTTAATTGTCATCCCTAATTATATGGTATATGTGTCCCACATATAAAGATTGGCATTCCTATGATGTTTGTGTTGGGTCTTTCAAGGGAGATTTACTAGGGAGACCGACACCAATGATACATGAGTCCAACCTACATAAGGATTGACATCACTCTCAACCCAAAAACTTAAGGCATTAGGTTATGGGTCATACTTCTTTATATGTTGCTCAACTTTCTCATTTTTACTCAATGTGAGACTTAGAATCACATTTGTATTTTCTAACAGTTTGTGCATATAAAGTTGACAATTACAATCCATACAAGGTGTATGATTATATACCGATGGTGATGTCATTGAGGTGGTGACAAACATATTTGATGAAGTTCAAAACACATTATTTGTAAGGGACTTACCCAAACTTAAATTTTTCCTTTTTTTTCTCTAGCTTTATTTTTAAACAAATTTATGTTTTGTTTATCTATTTTATTTTTCTCCTTTATGAAGCGATGGGAAAAAGAAAATTCTTAGAATCAAATATCATCTAATTAAAGAAAAATAATATTTCCCACAATCATAGAATTCTTAAAAATATTAGAGAAAAATTATAAAATTTATTTTAAGGAAAAAATTATATATATATATATATATATATATATATATATATATAATTGCTTTTGAAAGACAATTTATCTTGGAAAGACCCAACACTATGTCCAAAACTGATAATGCTAAGGAATCATGAATCTGGCTAGGGATTTCTCGCAATCTGACATTAGTGACAAGTCGATTACGGGAAATTTGACAAGTGAGCTTATAAACAAAAAATTTGATTGTTCTCAATTAATTCATGATCATGTGACTAAAATGTCTACTCTGACAGCAATATTGAAGGGAATGGAAGTGAGTGAGTCCTTCTTATTGTAGTTCATTTGGAATTCCCTTCTTGCAGAATTTAACGAGTTCCTAGTGAATTAGAACACCCTTAAAGAAAAATGGAACTTTTAGGAAATTAAGACCATGTTAATTTAGGAGGAAAGGATTTTAAAGAAAATAAAGGACGACTTTGTTCATCTCATGACTCATGATGGAGCCAATGACAGTAAGAGGAAGTTAGGTAGAAACGATAAGGACAAGACCTAATTGAAGGTAAAATCCATAAGGATAAGGTAAATTTTTAAAAAAATTTATGGATAAGTTGTATTTTGAGATACAATTTCATAATGAAAAAGTCGTGGTATGCTATCATAACATCATTAGGATCAATTCCCATGTTCGAAGTATTGTCCGCTTTGAAACTCTCATCTGTCACAATTTTGTCCTTAATAGGCGCCTCGGTGGTAGGTTAAGAGAGGAAAATATATATAAATTATCGTTGACATCGACTCTTAGTCTAGGTGAGACTCTTGAGCATACAAGAACATTATAAAATTAATAAAATTAAAATCTTAAAAATGTAGAAAAATATATTTAAAAATTAATGATGAGAACTTGTTTCACAATGTGGTCTTCTAATATTACCTCTTAGTCTTTCTCTTTGATGTGTACTTGTTTTGGCGATGAAACGTCTATTTTTTTATTTTTATTTTTTTATTATTATTATTATTATTATTATTATTATTATCTTTATCTTTATCTTCATCATTATATAATGTTTGTACAGATAAAGTTGACAATAACAATCTATGCAAGGTGTATGATTATATACTCGATGGTGATGTTATTGAGGTGGTGACAAACATATTTGATAAAGTTCGAAACACATTATATATAAGGGACTTGCCCAAACTTAAGTTGGCCTCATATATTATGGAGTTGACCCATATATCTGTAGAGTGAAGGTGGTTGAAAAGTAAATAACTCAACTGGATAGGTAAATTGTGATATGAATTGTTAAAAATTTTGTTAGTTGTGTTATTGTGTTTGATATTATTGTGATACATCGTACTAAACAAACAAAATACATGAAAAATTAGTATTTTAATATATATGGATTTTTTTTAAATTATTATCAGTTTTACTAATGATATAAAAGTGTGATCTTTAAATAATAAATAAATTAATAACTTTTATTTACTACGTCAGATTTTATATACAATCAATATAAAAAGCTTTATATAATTTTTTATTCAACATCTTCTTGTTTTATCTTCATCTAAACCCATTAAAATAGTATAAATATTTATTTATTAAGAATTATTTATTGTAGTGGGAAGTGTAAGTTAGGATATTACATTAAATAATATAATGAGAAAATTTTTATAACTTGGTATTAATAAAAAAAAGACTGAAATGTGTAATCTAACAGCAAGTAAAAGTCTAAGGAAATGGGAGTAAGTGAAATTGAAAACCAACATACACTTTCATCATAGTGAAGAATTGAAGTGGTTGTTGAATATCCAAGCCTGATTTGCTACTAAGAAACAAAAAACAGAGGCACAGTAGAAGAATTAGTGCACTCAAATTCACCTTTGATTTGTTATAGGCAGTCCAATTCTCTCTTCAAAAAATCCATTATTGTCATGTATATAATCCTTGTCTTAATTCTCTTTGACAAGTTTTAATAGTGATTTACTGCAGTATTTAATATTTAATCCTTGTGTTAACTCTCTTTCACAAGTTTTAATAGTGACTCACTGTGGCATTTAATATTGTTAGGTCTCATTAACTGTCATATGCAAAAAGTTAACATTAAATATACAGCTGCACTTCATGTCTAAATCATAGAAAAAAAAAGAAAGAAAGCTTTGCTGATTTCTTGTTCCATGTCTCACGAATTGATTTCATATTTTGATCAAAACAGCAACTGCCATGTGCTATAACATGTAAGGGATTTACTAGTTTCAACCTCTGGATCATTGTTTGATTTGTACAATCAGATATTGTCTAATTGGATATTTTTTCAACAAATTCATTGCATATTTTTCCATAATAATACTATTGGAGAGACTGATCTTACCATGTTTAGAATGTAAGTATATACATAAACCCTCTTTCATTCATTAGTTGTTTATATATTTAACAACACAGAAAAACTGGGTTATGTGGAGGAGATATGAGGTAACCATCCATTTAAGTTCACAGTATTTCTTGTGTGTATTCCTTACATTATTCTGATTTGCTAAGGCCTGATATTTTTAGAAGACCTTTCTTTTATCTTGACATGATCAATGCATATGAATAAGCTTTTGCTACCACATAAAGAGGTTGCTTTTACGACCACATATTCCATAGCACGAAGTTAGCTGTTTGTCTTCCTTCCTACCTCAAGGAGCTTTCCAAACTGCATTGTCTACAAATATCATCAAGTGGTGTGCTACTTCAAAGATAAATTTACTAATGGGATAATTTCAGTTTATGATTTAAAACAAAACTGGACAAACAAACTTCTTTCAACAAGTTGATGCATTCAACTAGACAACCTAACAACTTTATAATTAAGTTATAATTTCATTAATTAAATGAAACATTAATTATAAGGTGAAAGAGACCAACCAAATATAATAAATTTGGGATACACCAAAGCTCTGTTATAGTTAGTGCAAGAGCAAGAAACCAACAAAATATGCAACACAAGAGACCAACAAAATATAATGAAAAAATTTAAACTGTTTGATGCGATGCACCAAAGTGAGAATACCAATAACAAGACTGAAATAGATTAGAACAATTAAATTAGTGGGATGCACCGGTCTCTTGACAGTTTATTTATTTAATAAATCAATAGTGAAAAAGATAAGCAAATTTTCCAATGCCTCTCTCAGAGTCTTTGTTACTTCCTTTTTTATTTTATTATTTTCAAATTTTCAGTAACATCATATTTTCAAATTCCCTGACATTTAAGATATTCTTTTATTAAGTCTCACTTAATCAATTTTACATATTCTCAAATTATATATTAATTGTATTTTTGTGCTAGCAAAAAATACAATAATATTCTACTTCAAAAAATATTAATTAGATAAAATTAAACTCTTTAATTTAATCAATAATATTTTCTATCCAACCATTTGTCAAATCCTAATAAGTTAACACGTGATGAATGACTTAAGGAATTATTTTCTTCTTTCATTCATAATACCCTGATCAAGGTCTTTATCGAGCTCAAACTTATTACCAAAAGTTGATAGATTTTTTTTAATTAATCATTAATCCACAAAAATTTAATTATATCCGATAATCATTCAACTATCATCACAAAATGTTAGGTATCCAATATCAATATATAATAAATAAATTGTTAATTACCATGATAATCTCAAGTCTAAGAAAATTATATATTTTTCTTCAAAAGAATTTCCTATTGACATTTCAAAGATAATATTAATCATTAAGACTTCTCTTTTAAGTCAGTTCAATGATCATATCTTTATATACACCATTTATATGTATAATTTAAAAATGAGATCTATTAATCTTTATCAAGTAAAAACTACACCATATTGATCTATCTCAATTAAAGATGTCTTATCATTATTTAATAATCCTATTATTAAGAACAATTTAAATAAAAATTATATATAAGACTTATTTCTTATTATTATAATAATAAGTTTTAAATTTTTAATAAGAACTTCTTCATATGAATTATATGTAAATTATATAATAATAAAATAAATAATAATAAACACAATTTTATTATTATTAACAAATAACATAGCAACACTTTATTCATATAAAGGTGGTCATTTGCGAACATTTGTTATATTCCAAAGCACAAAGAGACTCAGTTAGTTGTTTGTTTTCCTCCCCTACCCTCATTGTTCGCGAATACTTAATCTAAGTTTCTGCAATTTAGTTCAAATCCTTGATGTAATTGGAGATTTATATTGTTTAGAAAGCATAAATTTAATGCGAAAAATTTTTGCTACACTTAAAGGAGTTCTCCTGATTGTATTCTCTAAACTTACAGTATCGCAAGAATTGAAATACCTGTCACAAATTTACATGTTGACTTGCAACTTCAGCACAAAATTAGTAGGAGAAAAACATGACAAATTTAAAACTTTTGTAAATTAAAACCGACTGTGTTCATATTTTTTTAACTCAAATTTCAAATGAAAAGTTTGAAACAAAATTTAGCTATGTTCTTTGATATTTTACATGATTAAGGTAATATTTATTATTGGTTTGTAGCTTTAATAGATAAATGCGCTAAAAGTCTATACATGTATTTTTAGCAAGTCATTGTATCGTACACTCTTTAAAAAAAATTGGTAATGTAGATTCACGTATAATATATTAAAATGATTCGAACATATATTACACATCTTAGTTGAGCCATGAGCCACAACAACTATTTGAATTTAAATTAAAAATCACAAAAATCTTAATACATTAAATTATAAGTTATTAACGTAACACTTAACTTACTCAATATTTTTCCCTTCAAATATGATTTTCTTCACATTACTACATCCATAATAATCTTTTCATATACCGTCATTTATTACCATCCACGAATTCACGAAGAGTACGTTAAATCACTGTATTCTAAAAGATATGCGACTTTCTTACTTAGAGGAGTAAGATGTTTCAAAGCGAGTAATTTTATAATAAAATTTGCAATGCATTTATGTACTATGGTTCAAATTATGCTGTTTCTACCTCATATTAGGTTGAGTTTGGTTCTGAATGAGTTGAAGTTGTTTATTTTCTATCTTAATAAAACGTTATTTTGTAACCATTCCAGTGCACTTGAGTCCATATTTACATCACCAAATAAATGAAAATGACAGCAAGAACTATAGAAATATATATGTTGATTGTAAAGAGAGTTTTCGGTTTTTCTTTTATATTTTATGTTTTAATAAAAAAAATGAATTTTGTGAAAAGTCAATAATAATGATTGATGTTCGTCTAGGACAAATATTTCAGAGTTTAGGTTAAATTGTAATAATTATAATTTGTGAATAAATAATTGCTGATAAAGATTCGTCTTATAAACAAAACAAATGATGCTCCATGTAAAATACTTATGGTCGTGTAGATGATTTCAGTTTCAAAATAAAAAATTATATTTTAAACATTTAGTTTGGTTAAATGTAGGGATCTTCTAAATATGACTTTCACATATAAATTCAAATTATTAATGATAACGTTTTAAATTAATTCTTAATTCAGTAATTTAAAAAAAATATTTAATAAATTAAGTTATATTATATAGTATTAAATAAAGTAAGGTGCTTATTTAGAATCATATACTAACATTATTACTCGTGAAGCACGCGGATAATGAGAACATATATATTTCATCCAATTTTCATATAGTGTATTTTATTTATTTTATATATTTGATCTCATAAATTAAGTTTATTTTATTTTATATTTTTATGAAAATATATCATTTATTTTATATTTCATTCTAAAATTAAATTCTCAATCAGTTATTCAAACTATAAGATATGAATTTGTTGAAATTTATATTTAAAGATAATTTATTATAAAAATATATAATTTTATAATAATGATTTTAGATAAATGTTTTAATTTCATAATACTTATATATTGCTAATTTTAAATACTTTATATATATAAAGTAAAAGAATAAATACAATTATAATGACAAAAAATCGTAAAATAAGAATGATTATTCTATTTATTAATTTTTAACTATATACGTATATGTTTTATTGATTTTAAACACTTATCTTATATGAAAAATATTTATTTTTTTATAATGTAATAAAATATTTACTAATCTGACAAATTAAATTTAAATTTTTATCAGAAAATATGACAGTAAAAATGTTTATTTCGACTAATAAAGAATAAAACCATATTCGATTTTTTTAAATTTTTTATTAATTTTATATACAAACATTATTTTGTATGATATATATATATATATATATATATATATATATATATATATATATATATATATGAGTAAAACAAACTCAAATTCTTAAAAAAGAAATTAATAGAAAAAATCATCTTCGAAAGGTAAGGTAAAAATAATATTTTTATTTATTTTCATAAATAAAAAATTTCAACCTCTTACATTATATTTTATTTATTTGTATATTATATTAATGTAGTAATAACCATGAAAAACGGTTAAATGTGACCTACCATATCAATTAAGGATCCGTCATTGATGGAGTTATCGTTGTATGTATGAGATATAACGATGAATATTTATACAACGATGGATATTTACAAATATCTGTCATTATATCTCATAAAATTCAACAATTGCTTATGTTGATGAAATATGTTATTCATGTGCGTCTAGTATAATGTATGACATCTGTATCCATGGAAAATGTGTCTAATAAATTTTCATAAGTATAATTATTGTACTTAATCCAAACATCTATCTATTCATGCTTAGATAATGTTGTTATCCATTACATTACATAATAACCACAATCATATCCTTTAGATTGTCTGTTACATTGTTTTTCAAAATATAAAAATTAAATTAGTTCGTTAGTAACATAAATAAACAAAAATAAATATCATAGATTGTATCTTTAAATACAATCATGTGAGCTTTTGTGGTCTTCTACTTGACCTATCGTTCATTATTTTATATCCAGAATAAACACTAATAACAATTACACTTAGTTAAAACATATGTAAAAAATATAATTGTAATATAATAATTTCTATAAAAATAATCAAATTTAGTTACCAAGTCTACTATTTGTTCAAGGTATAGCGGTGACTTTTTATGCAATAAACAAAACTATGCAATCATGTTGTCAATCATAGATATGACAAACAATTGTCACTGATGATTATACATTAACACATATTGAAGTTAGTTAAAACTAGAATTGAATAAAGATAAACTATCAAGAAAATTTACTTACTCATAAACATATGGTGCAAAATAAATACTTTTTCCCGATAAGAGACTATTTATGATGTACGTTTGTGTCTCTAGCTTCTTATTACCCAGTGGAATGAGTTAAGGATCTAAAAATTCATACACTTCATCTTTCTTCTTACTCACACATAACTGGGATAGATACCTATAACAAGTGATATAATCATTAATATTTCAATAACTAAAATACTAAGAACTTTAAATTAAATAACTTACATCATCCACAATTACATAAGGGATATGTTAAGCTCTAGATTTCCTGTTGCAATCTCTAATGCGTCAAACATGTGTAAATATAATGGGATATCACTCTCCCTTCCAAAAATGGTAGAATCTCATGGCACCTCAATTGGATTGCTATTAATGGTCCTCGCAACATCCAACAATAAGACAAAGGATCACTAATACTATATTGCTTCTTCTTTTTCTCATCTTTCTAGCGTCGTGACTGCACATAAATAACATTAATATTAAAAAAAATATAATAAGCAAGAATCAAACATACTATTGTTATTGTCATACCGTGCTATATAATATAGGACTAGCTAGATGTCTAGGCCAGACAATGAAAGTTTGAAGTGTTTGTGCTACAATAGTAACCTCATCTGTCGGCACGACACAATAACACTATTATCGACCATGACCTTAACCAAATGAGCAGGAAGAGGTACACTATGTAATACATGTTAAGTATTTTTGAGGAGGCAAACAACAGGGCGGCGATTCTCACAAATGGGATCTGAGTCAACTATATAAGAGAATATGACATCACTCTCAACCCAAAACCTTAAGGCAATAGGTTATGGATCTTTCTCACTTATAAGTTATTCAACTTTCCCATTTCTACCTAATGTGGGACTTTAAACTCACTTGAATTCTCAATAATATAGTGACCCCTTGAAACATCTTCCCAAATGCCACCAACCGGGGGGAATCAGTGTCTTCAGCATACAGCTCACACCTGATAAGATGCTTTGTGTCCTCCCCTGATGGTACACCTGCAACAGCAGTTGCTTGTTGGGAGAGCCCTAGGTTCATTAATCGCTGGTCAAACTGTTGCCACAAGTTTTGTGTCATAGTCTCTGTGACCTCTTGTTTGAACTCTTCTTTAGCTCATCCCTAATCTTCTCCCTTAATTGTGCTCTCAAATTCTGCATATACTCCTGACTGGGGCCACTAGATGAGGAATATGACTTACATGTTGTTGATCTAAAGAAAGTTTTAATCCACACACCTACTCTAGCAGCTTAAACACGACCAAAGTGCTCAGGTCAACCTCAGGAATAAAAGTACCCTAGGTACATTCCTCAACCAAAGAATCATCTAGCAATCAAATTGTAATTAGAAGAAAGGAGGAGCGCAAGGGACGAAGGAGGAGACAAGGAAAGTGAATAAGGTGGGTAAGCGGGAAAGGATATAATTAATATACGACGCCGATTATTAGATACTCTTCGTTGAATGGTTGGTATCGCCACACATTTGACGACGATTATTTGATATTTGTTATCGTTTGTATCATATGATGACGATTATTAAATAATTTTCGTTATATAGTTGTTTTTATTTTCGAAAAGACCACTGCAATGCATTCGACGACGTCTTCATAATGACCATCGTCAAAAGGTGTCATCATTTTCAATATTTGTACTAATGTAATCTAAGTCTAAAAAATATTTATCTTGTACTTTAACGAAAAATATTCATTTGTTATATATTTTATATTTTTATATTAAATAAATTAAATTATCAATTAATTAGTTAAATTAAAAAAATATTAGAGATATGTATATTGATTGTTAAAATGTATTTATATTTTTTAATTAAAAAAATACAAATTCATCTATTATATTTTATTTATTTTACATAGTTTGGCTTAAAGAAATTTCTTTTATATTAATTTTATCTTCCTATAAAAAATTGTTATTTTATAAAAATAAATCTATCACTTATATTTTTAGTGATTTTAAAAACTAATTTTATGTGAAAAACATTTTTATTGTGTAATTAAATGTATATTAATTAGGTAAAATAAAATTAACAAAAAAAATTAATAAACATGAAAAAATGAAAATAAATTAAAAAAAGGAAAATAAAAATAAAAAATATAAATAAAAAATATAAATTTTAGTAAAATAAGGCATTATTTTAACTCTTAAAACTAAAAAAAATGAAAATAAATTAAAAAAAAAGTGGAAATTTTTGGATTTCTGTGAATCCTATTAAAAATTATTGTTGTATTACGCTCTATTTGTTTTCAAGGGTAGAAACACGAAAAATGAAGAAATACGATGTATTTTAATATAATAAAATTATAATAATTTCTCCTCTATAAAAAATGAAAAAAATATAAAAAATACATATAGTCAATTATATAAATAAATATTACATAATATTTATTAATATTTATTTATAATATATTCAAAATTTTTTAATTAATATGTTTTATTATTATTAACAAAATAACTAATTTAAACAATTATATTAAAATAATAAATAAAATTATTAAAAATATATAATATATTTGATTTTTTAATCATTTTTTTTTAATCCAATAACTTCACTTTCAGTTTTTTTTTTCAAGTGTTTCACTCTCTCGAATTTATTACGAGCCAAACACAATCTTAAAGTTTACTTTTGATAATACTCTCTCTTTCAGTGTCTGCGGTCCATGACAATATTGGGTAATATTATTAAATCCTGTTCAAAACATTAAATAAAAAATTATTTCAAATTTATTAACCTTTTAAATTTCAAGAATAAAATAATGGAAAAATATGTTAGGTTTGTACTCTTGAATCAGTCCCTGCCCCTTGCATTGAAGTGTCAACACCTATTGTTTGTACGCAAATCAAGTGGCATGACCATATCTTGAGGAATCAATTTGAACTTCAAATACATCGTCAAACCTTCACACCTTTTTATAGCTTTTTTATTTGACACCACTTCACTCCTTTTTTGCACTACCCTTTTAGCTTGCTACACTACACAGTAAATCCAAGCCAACTTGTGCATAGAAAAAACAATTTTAACCTATGAAGCAAGAGCTATGTGAGCCTATGAATCTATGATTCTCATTGGTTGGTTCCCAAAATTTAAACATTTATCTACTTATCACCATTCCAGTCTTTGATTTGCAATTACTTTTTCTCTTTAAGAATCTTTGAAATATTTGCTAGAGATTTCTGGACCAAGATCTTTTTGCGACAAAATTGATCAATGTCACCGGATTTTGGGTTTTGAAGAGCAATAGAGGCTCTCGTTAACACAAATTTATAAATCTATTAAAAAGAAGAATGAGTTAAAGAAAAATATTAATGTTAAAAAGATGAAAATTAAAATAGAAGTAGTTGAGGTCAAAATGGTAAAAAATTGAGTTTGAAGTGATAGAGATAAAAGGATAAAAACTTGAAATTGATATAATAAAATACCAAAAAGGTACCGAGAGATAGTAAGTAAAGAGGTAAAAATTAAGATTGAATTGGTGAAAATTGAAAATGATTAAAAATCAAGGAGTAAATCAAGATATGAAAGAAATCAAAATCCAAAAAAAAAAGGAGTTATTGAAATGTACAAATCGAAGAATAAGATAATCAAGACTTCACAGTGATTGAAAGAACAATTGAGATAAAATCAAGGTGGTAAACGGGTATCAAAGATTAAATATTTAAAGGATTATCATATTTGAATAAGGAATCAAGAAATATATTGAAAAAAAGTATAATATATTTTTAAATATAAATTGAAGAATTAAGAAAGAACCATTAAGACATCGAAAAAGACTTACAAGTTGTTTGGATCTAGGTGCAAAAAGTGAAGGAGGAGTGATTTGTAATGAAAATGAAAAAATCGAGATAAAAAAAAGGACAAAGGTCTTACAGTTGAAGTTCCTTCTCTGCATGTGAAGAGAAGAAACGAAGAAAAAATTAATAATAATAAGACATAATCAATTATAATTTCTTATATAATTGATTATCTCAATTTTTTTATAAAATATTATTTTTTATGTTTTAATTATTATAATAGTAAATAATTTATTAAAATATTAAATAATAAATAATTTTTATTTAAAATAAATAAAATAATATTTTAATTAATTATATAAATTTTATCGATTATAATTTTTTCACTCATTTCTCTTCACTTTCTCTCTATCTAAACAATCTTACTTTCTATTATCTTTCTCTTCTTTTTCATTCCCTCAAATCTTCTCTTGAATTCAAACAAAATATTATTGAGATATATGGATTTAGAGAAATGGAGAAAGACAAAATATCTATCAAAAAAGGACAATCTAAAAAGACAAAGAGATCAAAAAATAATTATATAATCAAAGAAGATAAAGGATCAAGAAGAAAATTATATAATTAAGATGTATCGAGTGACAATTATTACCCAAGTACATGACATGGACAATTGTTATCGTGTTATGTGTCAATGAAATTGTTTGAGAATAAAAGAAAATGGTTATAAGAAAAGAAAATAATTTATTATATATATATTACTAGTTCAATTTGGTTGATGGGAAAAAAGTTGAATAAATCAATTTTTTTATTCTTCATAAAAAAAATATATGGTAAAGTTGGGATAAAAGTTAATTTTTTTTATTATAAATTCCAATGCATATATGCAAATTCTAAACATGCACTAAATTAACAATCTATGTAAATTTTGTGCTTAGATTTGTGTTACAAGAATAGCGTGTATCATGCAAGCATGTTGAGAACAAATAGACAAAGTGAGAAATAGTTGAGGGCGCAGACCATATAACTAGTGAATCAGCTGTAGGTGTTATGAAAGCTACTATCTGACTTATTCCATTGAATATGAAGCTATATATAAAGTTTAACACTTTCTTATTCTTTTCAACATTTTAATAGAATAAAAGATCACGAGTAACATTATATAAAATAACTATATTTTTTACATCACCAATACAATTAAAATATATTCTAATTTTCTGATATAATCTTTGAAACATTTTTTTTATTACAATAGTGACAGAATTTTAAAAGGTGAGGGTCGTTACTCTTTTAAAATTTATATATTTATAATTTTGACCCTTTTCATATTTTTATATTTATAATTTTAATTTTTTATATATTTTTATTATTTATTAATAATATATTATTTAATCTAAAATTATAATTGAAGATTAGTTATTTATTATTGTTTAAGAATCAATTTCTTTTTGTTGGTTTAAAAAACTAGGATTAACATGAATAATTCAATTGATTTTTTTCAGGGAAGTAAAATGAAAAATGAAATTAAATATTCTTTTTAAAGGAAAACTAATTGTAAAAAGAAAACTGTGTACATGAATTGGTGCCATAAACCAATCCAGAAAGTTGAACAATTAGCACAGATATGCATAAATGATTTACCTGTAATACTTTGAGTACGTATACAGTGATTAATGTGGAGGTACATATTTTGCAGAATGTGATTTACTTTATAAAGAAAAACAAAGTGGAAGAAGCTAGATAGATAGGTACGAGCTTATCTTTGTGATGGACTAATGAAAATGGTACTTCACTGTTCCTCCAATCAGATGACACAGGATCCTTCAAATGCCCAACCAAAGAAAAGATATATGAAAACAGTACAACCTGTTAAAAAACCTACCAAAACATGCAGAAAAAAACAATGTGATATGGTGATATTGTAGTACGGGTTTCAGGTAGCCAGCTACAACCTTTTGGAATGTTGCTCTGAGCAAAGGTTGGGAAAACCCAACTCTGAATATCTCACAAACTCAATACAATAAAATAATTTTGCTGAGACAAAGAAAATTTTAACTCTTTCCCCCCTCTTGCCAGAATCTTCTCAGTCTTACAGATCACGTCAGTGATAAGTGATGACCACTACTTTTTAAGATACCTGTGAACACTTATCTCTGAGGCCAAAAATTTGAGTCTAACTTGGATGGAATACCAAAAACCCCATCATGAAAAGAGCCTCATCTATCCAATTAACTTACTGCATGCACACTACTGACATGAACTTTAAACTATTGCTGCCACCTTGTTTTACTTCATGTCATGCATCTGAGAGGGTGAGGAACTGATGTTTGAGTGTTGAAATAAAATATCTGATTTCTAAAGGTTTTAAGGGTGTGTTTCATGTCACTGTTCCTTAAAAGCAAATTGATTATCTTTTCACTTTCACACTGAAAGTAACATTTTATCATTCCATTGCTAACCATAGGAGTGTTTTTTTTTTTTTTTTTCTTGGAGGAATAATGAGAATTGATTCAGTCAGATTTAATTTTATAAAAATGGTACAAGGTGAAATTGTTTTTGCTTCAAAACTTAAGTTTGATTAGAAGTGATTGAATTAAAAAATTTCCAGTATTTTTTTAATAATCTTGCTTTTAAGATAAAATATCAAAACATAATTCACATCACTTAAAATCAATTTTACTGATGTTCTGTATGCATTGTGACCATAATTACAGCCACATTGATCATATTTCTCCAGAATTTCTCGCAATATGATGAAATTGCAGACACAGTTTAAAACTTTCCTGACTTAAATTTGTGATTGAGATAAAGGATGGGGTACTGGTCATATCGCCAATACCAAAACCTATGTTATTGTTGGTCATCTTCATGTGCACTAAACAGAAAACTCAGAATTTTCCATCGAGTTCTTTGGTTACACATCCGAAAATGACTTTTATAAATACCATCAAAACTACATAAAATAAACGATGTAAATGCAAACTCAGTGACCAGAAAGAGATCAACAAGTTCATGCAATCCAAACAAACACTAAGGGACAGAAAGGTTTCCCAAATGCTCACCCCGCTAAACCTAATTTGGGAACTTCGAGTTTTGAACAATTTAGCAATGTTATGTGTTACATCGCTTTCTATCAGATGCATCCATTACGTGAAATGAAGATTAAATCTGCATGACAGTTCAGCTAGTGAATTGACCTATCAGAATGTACTTTGATTCTGTTATTTCTTCTTAGAAATACTTAATACACATACTAATATACTTTCTCTAATACAATATGAAATTTACTGAGACTTGTGTTATTATGCTCATTAAACAGGAAGTGAGAATGAGTTATGGTATGAAACTAGTCACTTTGTGAATCTTGATAAATTTCACAAGAGTTTGCTATTAACATTCTTTGATTAAATGTTGCTTTTTGTTTTCTCAATCCTATGTAGCTTAACTATTTGCTGGATTTTCATTGGAATGGTTGTTGAACAGAAAAATTGCACTTTCCAATACACAAATGAAGAAGTGATATGAGTGTTAGATTGAGTTGAAAGTGGGTGAGTTATTTTATCTTATTGTATGAAAATGGTCCACCTTAGTCCTTATTTGATGCTTAATTAATCAATATCAAGCTCTAAACACAGCAAGATTATTTGTTGCCCATGACTCTAGTCAGCCTTTGTGTCCTGACACTGACTTGACTTCAATCATTTTGGTTCGAACAAGTTGATCGATGGTTATAATCAATATACAAAATACAAAAGCTAATTGAAGCTAAGTTGGGAAAATTCCTATGCATTAATAAGCTTCAAAAAATGCTACTATCAAGCTAATCAAGTCTTCTTTTTGGAACCAGATTCCCTTCTCTGAATGTGGGCTGTGCCAATAAAATCTTCTTGTACTGCTTCATTTCGTGGTTCCAAAGCAAACGGGTCACAAAACCTGCAAACTTTTTCTAACTCAGATTCCTAATCAGATTTAACCCACTACCTTGAGCAATATATAAGCATAGCACCAGCTGCATATTCTCACACAAACTTTCCCTTCAACTAAAAAACTCCTTGTTCTTTTTTCTCTCTTTCTTTTCTAGCTAGCAAAGTACAACACTACCACTCCTCTTATGCTCTTTACCATCCATCAAGTTTAGCCAGTGAGACAACAACCTAGATTATCAGTCATGGCCTCAAGCTCTCTCAGCAAGCAAAAGCTTTCTGACTCCTCTTGGACACCAAAACAGAACAAGCTGTTTGAAAAAGCACTTGCAAAATATGACAAGGATACCCCTGACCGCTGGCAGAATGTGGCCAAAGCAGTAGGTGGAAAATCTCCAGATGAGGTTAAGAGACACTATGAAATCCTCTTGGAGGATCTCAGACACATAGAGTCTGGCCGTGTTCCTCTCCCCAAATACAAGTCCACAGGAAGCAGCACCAATGTTGATGATGAAGAGAGGTAATGCATTCTAACCAAATCTCTCTTTCCACCTTTTTAACAAACTAAATGATATGCATACCATTAACTTTCTACCTTTTCAGATTAATCTTCTTAGTTGTAATCCTTTTCATGCATGCATTATTCCATTCTTTGTCTCTCTTTAGTATATATCATGTGAGACAAAAGAGGTTGACTAGTCCAACCAACAACACTCACAAATGGTTGCCAAACCATATTTAATACACAACAATATGGCTAGTATAAAAAGGAGCTGCAGCTGATGACTTCTGCAGCATTGCCCTGCAACTGGGCTCACTATTTAGGAAGAAAAAAGAAGAGACCAATTTTTTAATATTGCTACATTTAACGTAACTTTATTCCTCAAGCACCTTTTTCTTGCACCAATGAACGGGAAAAATACCTGTTATAAGCCACAAGTTCAAGTTTCAAATTGCTACACTCAATTATTTAAATACCTATTAAATTTGACAGCCTAACTAATACAATTAGGTATAACTGCTTTCACTTGTAACATTTTTATCTCAAAATAATTTTTGAATTTGTGGCAGAGAACGTTTCTCTGATCGAAGTCATGTCACAAAAATCTTGTGGACTGAGTTAACTACGCAAGTTCAAAATTTTAAACAGCCAAAAATTCAGTATTTATTGAAAGTTACAGCTAAATGTTCCGTAGCAATAATCTTGCTTTTCCTTGACTGGAGAATATTATGCCACATTGCAAAGCTTCTAAATACTTGAACAGAACAAAAACAATGACGATTCCCTCTCACTTGGATAAATAACGTGGTCATTTTATGACAACGAATTGAGTCAGTAATAACACAAGTCTTTAATTTTTGGCACAATTTGTTGTTCTTGTTATTTTGATATTTTCTAATATACACATGTTTGATTTTATTTTTACTATTTTGTTGCCCCAGGCTTCTGAAGTATCTTAAGCTGAATTAATGGGAAGCAATGTTTGTGTTATCCTCAGCTATTAGCAGCGTTTATGTGGTGTTCCTTGAATCTGCAGAAATAACTTCCTTGCTATGTTTCTCTATCATGTGTCTCTCTGTTCTCTTTCTGCCACTGTAATTTAGATTGGTTCAAATTTTCAATGAATTATCCTATTCCAGAAAACAGTATCAGATTCTTAACCAGGATATTCTTCTACACCCTTTAAAAAGGATTAACAAATGTTTTGGGATTATAATCACATTGAGATTATATAATTGATATATGATCAGAAGAATGTAAGAATTAAACAAGTTGCTTCAGAATTTGTCAAGTTTATCATAAAGAAAGTAAAATGAGAAAAGTGAAAAGTAACTTCGATTTTGCAGCTTAGTACAACAGTACCAAGCCATTAATATTCCCTCGTACAAATCAAACCAACGCAGCTTTACCTCATGATCATGTGAACCATTTGTGTTGTTCAAGATTGTCGAGAACTTCTTCAACCCGGATTGGAGTTCTTTTGTCCTGCTTTTCAGATAAATTATTCGAATTCGATTACCTAAATATTTTAGTTTATTTCGTTAAATAAAAATTGAATCTAATATTTTTAATAAATAAAGCTTAAAATATGTTATTAAATTGTGCATTTTATTAGATAAATAATAACAATAATTGAAAAAATAATTTATACACATGTCAGAACTTTAAATATGTTTTTTTATTTAGTTTAAATTGTTGTAGAATTCAGACTAAATTGAAAAAAAAATCAGTTCAAACAATATCTTGTCTTGATTTTATCTTTATTTTGAAATTAACTTGACTAATTCTGTGTCCGTTATTACCTATTATTCATTTTTTAGAGTTAAAAAAAATACCAAATCAATTCTAAAGTGGATAATTCAATTAATTTAAAAAAAATATTTACAAATTAAATTTTTTTACCAAGATTACAAATTTTGTTAGAAATTAAAATGTGGGCTTTTTGGCTTAGTCTTTATTTAGAGAAGTGGATTTGATAGAGTATAAAAGAAAATAAATGAAGAGAAAAAGGATGATTTTTTTTAAATTATGATAAAAATAATTTTTTTTATTTTAAAAAATATTATTATTTATTATTATAATTAGAAAATGAAAAAAAATAAGATAATAAATTATCTCTTCTTAACTTCATCATTTTCTATATTTTTTATTTATAGAAAAAAATCTTATAAATAAGTATAAATCCGAATTTTTTTTACTTTAAAAATAATAACCGACAAATTTTTATTATAAATTTATTATATAAAAAATATATTAACGGATTTTATATTATTTTTTTCTAGATCCAAATATATGTTTAATTAAAAATAAATTATTTATGAAAAGATATTCTTTTTTCTAAAAAGAAAAATTGCACAACATGCATATCAAATATTCGAGGTTGTTCTTTGAAATTATTCTCACAAGTTGATTAGACACTTGATAAAATAAAGTGGAATTATTAATTATAAAAAAAGTGTGTCCGCCATGCTCAACATGCTTCAGGTTGATATATAGCAACACTCAACGTACATGCATATATTCAAGTTCAGCCTCCTTGGTGGTGTGAATGAATGAAATGTTTGTCTTGTTCTGAATTATGGGCCACAAGTCTTTAGTTACGAGCTGATTCATGTGTACCATGATCAAATAAGCAAAATTTAGCATCAAACACATGACACATGCAACTTCAGCACTTAATTTGTGAGATGCAGTTGTAAAGTGAAGTTGAGATACAACCTATGTTTTGGCACCAACTTTTTCCTTGCCTATAAAAGCTATGTTGCAGAGGCATCATAAGCATAATATATACCCACAAGCAAAATAGTTTCTCTCAAATGATCAATACCATGAATAATTTGAACCTCAATTACGTGAAAGTGGCATACCAGTTTTGGATACCTGTTTACACTCTCCTTGATCCCATTCATTGGCTACATCATCATGGTTCAAGCATCCAACATGAAACAAGACATTGACCAACTGTGGCTCCACCTGCAACAAAATCTCATTGATCATTTGTTGCACCACCATTGTATTTGGAATAACCACCTACATCATGAGGAGGCCGAGACACGTTTACATGGTGGACTTTTGCCTGCTACAAACCCCCATCTCATCTAAAGGTGACATCCTCCAAATTCCTGATCCATTCCACCATTATTGGGTGCTTCAACAAAACCTCCCTTGACTTCCAGAGTAAGATTCTGGAACGTTCTGGGCTTGGAGAAGAGACTTATCTCCCCCAATCACTGCATTGCATTCCCTCGAAGTCTTCTATTGATGCTGCCAGAGATGAGGTAGAGCAGGTTGTCTTTGGCGCACTCGATAACCTCTTTGCCAACACCAAGGTCAACCCAAAAGACATTAACATCGTCATTGTGAATTGCAGCTTGTTCAATCCCGCCCCTTCCATCACTGCTATGATAGTCAACAGGTATTGCTAAATATTTTGTAGAGTGAGTTTAACCATGAAATATTGAATCAAGTTTTATATGATATGTAACATCATTGTTATGATGAACTGATATAGAAATCAGATTAAAAAGTATCAAGAGGGAATCATGTCTGGTACTGGTGTGTCTGCAAAATTTATCAAGTATCAGTGGACGATAAGTTCAAGTTATGATGTTTATTCTAAAAAACAACAAAAGAGGCTCGCGATGTTTATTCTCTTGTTTATATGTTTAACAGGTACAAGATGGGGAATGATGTGAGGAGCTTCAACTTGGGAGGTATGGGTTGCAGTGCGAGTATTCTAGCTATTGATCTTGCAAAGGACTTGCTTCAGCTTCACAAGAACAGTTATGTAGTGGTGGTCAGCACTGAGACCATCACTCGAAACTGGTACTTCGGGAACAACAAGGCCATGCTGATACAAAATTGCTTGTTCCGCCTTGGTGGGGCAGCGATTCTTCTTTCTAACAAGGTTTCGAAAAGTTATGGAGTCAACTACGAGCTTGTTCATGTTGTGAGGACTCACAATGGTGCAGACGACAAATCATTCAAGTGTGTTCAACAGGTGCAAGATTCGGATGGAAAATTTGGGGTTTGTTTGTCAAGGGACCTCATGATTGTTGCTGGTAAAGCCCTCAAGGCTAACATCAGTACTTTGGGTCCCCTTTGTTTCCCATGGGGGAGAAGCTTCTCTTCCTATGTAACTTACTGGCCAAGAAGCTATTTGATTCCAAAAAGAAGTCTTACGTGCCAATTTTAAACATGGTTTTTACCATTTCTGCATTCATGCTGGTAGCAAGGCTGTGATTAATGAGGTTGAGAAGAGCCTGCAGCTTCTGAAAAGTGACTCAGAGGCTTCTAAAATGACTCTGCACAGGTTTGGAAACACTTCCTCCAGCTCCATTTGGTATGAGTTGGCTTACATTGAGGCAAAGCATAAGATGAATAAGGGGAACCGTGTGTGGCAGATTGCATTTGGAGTGGATTCAAGTGTAATAGTGCTGTGTGGAAAGCCCTCACCAAACAATCCATGGGAAGATTGCATTGATAACTACCCTGTTGAGAATTGAGATGTCTGCATAATTCCTGTTTTGAGTGAGGGTCTTTTTTCTTTTGTCTGCGAGAGTCATTTATTACTTTCTATTTAATGAAGGGCACATATCCTTAGTATGAGTAGTGTATTGAAATTGTTGTTGGGTTAGTGTTGTATTGAGTGTATGGGGTGAAATCCAACCTTTATTCCTCGTCATGACGCGTTACCTTAAATCATTAATATTAATATAATATATAATATAAAAATAAAAATAAAAGTTTTAATATGATTTGAGTATGTTATAAAAGTTGAAATGTAAGTTAAATCTCGAGAATTGTACAAGTGACAGATCCAAATCCAAAATCTAATATGGTGTTATATTATCTTCTAAGATTTATCTCCTTATCACCTGAATATCTGTGTTAACTGTTCACCAAAGCTCAACAAGTCTACCATGGGAACATTGTAATGTTTGTGAGTAAATCCCTCCCTTTAATTAACTTTTAATTATGTTATTTTAGTATAGTGTAATAAATATGAAATCATTATAAAAATTAAATAAATAATTTAATATATTTTTTCAATAAATTATTATTTATTAATTTACATTAAAATATTAAAAAAGTATAATAAAAAAATGTTATAATTCTATATCAAAATATATATCATTAAAAAAAATAAGAACTTAATTTAAAAGTATTTATTTTAAAAAATATTTTGATCATAAAAAATAATTAATAATCATATGAAAAAATAATTTTAATCTTTTATTTATTATTTTTTAAAAAAAATATTTCCTTCATATTACTTGTAAGAATTGTTTATTACTTGATATTTATTTGAAAAGCATAGACTTGTAGTGTCCACAAACAAGGTTTCTTGTTATTAAACTGTCATAGTTATTATTGTATTGAATGTCTGGAACCTTAATGATTTGAGTATGTTCATTAATTTTTATTTTGGATAAATTATGCACCATGCAATGTATATATGTATTTTAAGTCATTAAAAAATAAAAACAAACTTAATTAGTTTCCTTTCCTTTTTCATTGATATTAACCAGCTTTGTAGAGTGAACAAATTTTGTATTTGCTGTCCAATATACATATATAATTACGAACTTTTTTGTATCGTTTGATATTTTATTTATCCTAATATTTTATTTTGTTTATCTTATAATCGTATACTCAATATAATGAATAAATAAATTAATAAAAAATATATAATAAAAAAGATTTTGTTTTTCTCTCCCTTAAACACTTTCATCTACACTATTTCATAAAAAATAAACATACTACGCATGAGCATCTATATTTAGCTAACTATTACTTCCTTTTTATAAAATTTAAAATTATATTAATTATTCCTTTTATTAATTTGCTAATTATTAATAAACTTATAGAAAATAATAAAAATTAGGTTAAATAGGTAATTTAGTCCTATTATTTTTTAATATGTTTCAATATGGTCACAAAATTTTTAAATTTTTCAATTTAGACATGAATATTAAAATTGATGTCAATTTTATACTACCATTATTTATACTCTGTTATATTAGATGTTTAGTTGGAGTATCAGTTCTGATGTGGTTAAGTGATTGGTTATAATTACGTGACAGATTTGCCACGTCACATTAAAATTACAGGAAGAAATGACTGTTATATTAGATGTCTAGTTGGAGTATCAGTTCTGATGTGGTTAAGTGATTGGTTATAATTACGTGACTGATTTGTCACGTCACATTAAAATTACAGGAAGAAAGGGGAGTTGCGGATATGTTTAGAGTATGAATAATTGAGAGTTTCTGCAAATGAGTTAGAGAAGTGAGGATCTGCTCATCTCTCGTCACTGTCATAATGGGTCGTCTCGTCACCGTCGTAATGGGTCGCATCTCTCGTCACCGTCGTAATGGGTCGCATCTCTCGTCACTGTCGTAATGGGTCATCTCGTCACCGTCGTAATGGGTCGTAGGTAGTCCCTCCCGCATGCTGGGTCGTCTCGTCATCATCGTTCATTCATCGTCGTAATGGGTCGTAGGTAGTCTCTCCCGCATGCTCGATTTACCGTCACTACAGGTCCTCGTCGTCGCAAACCCTAAATAGAAACAACTTTCTCCTCCTTCGTCATAGTCAATCTCACACACGACGATAATTGGAACCCTAAACCCTCCGTCATAGTCAATCTCACACACGACGATAATTAAAACCCTAAACCCTCACTTTCGTCACAAAATGGAACTCCTACCTCCCTTGTCATTGCAGATTTTCTCACCTCCCCTCACCCATTTGCACAAACTCAATTATTCAAACCCTAAACACATTTGTCTTCTGTTCCTTTCTTCTTATAATTTTAATATAATATGACAAATCTAACATTTAACTATAACCAATTACCTAATCACATCAAAATTAATAATCCAACTGATATTAGTTTCAATATTCATGTTTAAATTTAAAATTCAAAAAATTTTCATATCAGATTAAAACATCTTAATAAATAAAATATTTTAATAAATAATAGAACTAAATTACCTATTTAAAATTTATCTTTAAATAGACTTTTAATTCTGTCAACTTTGATAAAATTTAAACTTATTTATATATATAAGAAAATCATTTTATTAATTATTTTTACAAAACAAGTCATTTGTATACCAATATGCAATAAAAATTAAATAATATAGTAATGAAATATATAGAAAAGCATGTTACCATTAAAAAACGGTAATGTAAAAAAAATTATAATAATTTGGTGATAAAATATATTATTAGCTGTAAATACTTTATTATATTCCTTTTGTCATGGATGCCTGACCTAGAAAGTACATTTGTGATAAATAATTACTAAAATTTTTAAAATAAGTTTAATGTCAATTATTATATTGATTTATGGAAAGAAAAGAAAAATTGAGTGATGAAAGAAACGAAATAAGACATTTGTCAGTTCATTGTGAAGAGAATTACTAAAATTTTAAAATAAGTTTAATGTCAATTATGATATTGATTTATGGAAAGAAAAGAAAATTTGAGTGATGAAAGAAACGAAATAAGACATTTGTCAGTTCATTGTGAAGAGAAATTGATCGGGAAACTGATTTTGTGTCATCTAATTTAAAAAATTATATTAGAAAATAAAGCATGTATTAAATAATTAATTAATTAAATTTAAATTGTAATAAAAATGTAAGAACCAATGAACTTAAATGTTAGAAATTAACACATTAAATCTGAACTATCATTTCATTCAAGAGGCTGTTAACGATATAGAGGTCAAAATCACGAACTGAAGAACCACGGAAGTAGGAAAAGCACCCAAACGACATAACACCTAATAAAACTCAACATAATCATAAACCATATTCTACAACATCAAGCGCTAGTTCCAGCTACCATCTCCTCCATCACCACCGCGAGAGTAGCGAGAACCACCATCACCATAACCTCGGTCTCTGCCACCGCCATAACCACCACCTCCTCCATAACCTCCACCGTTACGGTTGAATCCTCCTCCGTCACGATGACCACCGTATCCACCACCGCCACCGCCACCATATCCACCACCACCGCGGTTGTACCCTCCGCCTCCTCCATAACCACTTCCACCACGACCGCCGCCTCCGCCTCCGCCTCCGGCTCCCCCACGGGACTGAGCTTTGTTCACAGTGATGTTACGGCCATCAAGGCTCTGGCCGTTCATCCCTTGGATCGCATCTATCATGGACTGCTCCGAAGAGAAGGTCACAAATCCAAAACCCCTGGATCTTCCGGTCTCACGATCGTTGATTATCTGCGCATATAAACAGGCTTGTATACGTCAGATCTAAAGCAAAAAGCATGTAAACAAAGCCAGACCGAATAGAAACCGATCGATCTTCGCCTTTGATTAAAGGATGAAGATGAACGTACCTATTGGCGTGAGTAAAAAAAGAATGATATAGTAACACAAGTATCATAGATCAAGTAACGCAAAAAAGATCAGAGATCACAGATCAGAACGGGATCGAGAAATTCCGAATCCGAATTGTGTCAGATCCGATGCGATGCCTGCAACAAACAGACCTTCGATTCAACGATTTCGCCGTATACAGAGAAAGCCTTCTCCAGGGCATCTGTGTCGGTGGCCCATGCAAGCCCACCGACGAAGCATCTGTACTCAACATCAGCTGAAGCCATGGAAAATAGTATGAACCCTAGAAATTTGGGATTACCGTAAAAGGGATAAGATTTGCACGATGGAAGTGGGAACCCCAAAGTATGGTTTTATAGCTGCTGGACTGTTAACCAGGGTTACGGGGTGTGTGTTGGACCTAGACCAGGGTTAAAGCAAAATCAATCATGGTTCGAATTAGGTCATTACAAATTTTGGGCCATTTTTTTTTTAAGTTATTTTATGGGCATTGCTATTCCAACTCCCCATCCTTTCCCATTCCCTACGATTTTTTAGCACACTTGTTTTCCTTTAAAAAACATAGAGATTGTTTAACTTTTTTTTTTTTTTAACCAAGATGGTGCTAAGATTGATACGTCATCTCATATATTAATAATTTTTTCATCTAATAACAACTTTTAAATTTTTATATTATTATTTATTTATTTCATTCTCTTTCCATTAATTAACTAAAAAAATAATATAGTTTAAAAAAATTGGGGTATAAAAAAATTTCCCTTTTTTTTTTAATCCAAGAATGTCATTCCAACACGAGCTCGAGCTCGGCCAAAACGTGCTTGAAAATTCGCCAATCCAAAATCGATTTCACTTTTGGGTTAAAAAAATTATAATATCGAAATCCTACAATAAGCTTTTCACTTTTGGGTTAAAAAAATTATAATATCGAAATCCTACAATAAGCTCTTATATTTTGAGTTTTAAAAGATAAAACTTAAATAATTAAATTTGTGTTTGTAAGTTTTATTTATCTATTTCGATAATTTTTTAAATGACCTATTTTTGATCATTTTTGAAGTAAATTGTACCAACTTCGCAACTATAATTTCGGAATCCAGGCCGCAACGTGAGATTGATAAATTTGTTTTACAATGAAATATAATTATTATTTAGAAAACAAATTTAAAAAATTAAGAAATTTAAATTGTGTCAACATAGAGTTTAATATAATAAACTGGAATAAAAAAAAGATATTTAAGTAGTGGAAATAAAGCCGTCTTAAATTATGAAATAATTATTTCAACTTCATACAATGGTAAATGTACGCAATTCATGTAATACATTCTTTTTCACAACTGGTAACTTATTTTAAGATGCAATTTTCTTCGTGAGAAATCATCTGCTGCAATCTGTAAGATATTATTACTAATAAAAAGAAATATATTTTCTTGTTTATAATTACAAATGTAAAACAAAAATTTTAATTTAAAAAAAAAAGTAAGTGTAAATAAAAAAAATTAAAAGGGAGTTTATAGTAATTTTTTATAATTAAATTTAGAGTAAATTAAAAAAATATGAATAAAAATGTTAAATAAAAGGTATGCAATATAATTTATATTTTCTTGTCTATATATTTTTCCATACTAAAATATAAAGAAATTTCCTTCCATAAACCTTATTTAATAATATTATTATTATTATTCAAAAATTATATATTTAACATCATTATCATTCAGAAAATATTTTTAAATAAAAGTAGTTAATTATCTTTAAATCTCTAGATTTGAATTAACAATTAATTAAATGATTATGAAAACAAATGCTTAATTAAGTTTCAAATATGAAGTTATTGAAACTAAAAACTGTAGAAAAGGTAATCCTCTATCTTCTGAGTAGATACTATATCAAAAAACTAGATATTATATCAAAAAACAGATATTTGTCGATCAATTATTAAGACTAAACTAGGACACTAGACAGAACAATAATAAGACATGACTTCAGAAATAAACCCCTAATTTCACCAGACTGGTTTCATGACAGCCACGACGAGAAATAAACCCCTAATTTCACCAAACTGTTTCATGACCGCCACGACGAGAAAAGCGTGATCCACCATTACGGTTGTATCCTCCTTCACGACGACCACCGTAACCTCCGCTGCCGTATCCACCGCCACCTCCACCTCGACTATATCCACCGCGGGACTGAGCTTGGTTCACAGTAATGTTACGGCCGTCAAGGTTCTGGCCGTTCATCCCTTGGATCGCATCTTTCATTGACTGCTCAGACGCGAAGGTCACGAATCCGAAACCCCTGGATCTTCCAGTCTCACGATCGTTGATAATCTGCACCATAAACACGAAATCTTGTGTGAAATTGAAAGCAAAACAGCACGAAAATAAAGCCAGAACAGATCGATCTTCGCTTTTGGTTAAAGCATGAAGATGAATGTACCTAGTGGCGGGAGTAATAAAAGAATGATATAGTAACACAAGCAGAAGTATCATAGATCAAGTAACACAAAAAGATCAGAGATCACTGATCAGAACGGGATCGAAAAATTTCGAATCCAAATCGTGTCAGATCAGATGCGAAGCCTGCAACAAACGGACCTTCGATTCAACGATGTCACCGTAAAGAGAGAAGGCCTTCTCAAGCCCATCATTGTCGGTAGCCCATGCGAGTCCACCAACAAAGCATCGGTATTCAACATCCGCAGAGGCCATTTGAACCCAACTTTCAGAAAAACCCTCTGAATTTGGGAAATGAGGGAATGGAGTAAAATGAAAAAAGATAGACACGGTAAAATTTGCAACCCCTAGTGATATTTTATAGCAAGTGAATTGTTAACCAGGGTTACCACGCGTGTCGGTTAGACTTGGATCATGGTTAAACGAGATCCTAAAAACAGAATGAAATCTCTGCCTTAGATAATTAATATATAGTATCATTCAGTTATAATTTGTCTAATTAAATTTTTGAGGTAATTATTTGAAATTAAAAAATAAAGCATATATTGAGTTCCATTCTAGAAAAATAACATTGATATATGTAGATATTTTGAAATTTTGAACTTTTACTAATCTAACTCACAACAGAAATTTGAAATTAAAATATCAAAATTGATAAAATATTTTTTTACTTTTATATTTTTATTCATAGATATTAATATTTTGATTAATAATTATATTAAATTACTTATTTTATTATCATAAAATTTTATTAAAAATATTTTTTAATTTTTATTAAGATTTGAACGTAAAATATTTTTAAAAAATTGAGTTATAAAAAAATATATTTTAATTTGCCTTTAAAAAATAATCTCTATAATTATTTTAAAAAAAATTAAAAATGTAAATGAAACAACCTTTAATAATTTATTATCGAAATGTTTGATGTATAAACATTTAAATTAAATGTCTTTATTAGTAGTTGGCAAAAATAAAATATTTAATTGCTTTCATTCTGGAGTAAATCAATTTGCATTGACCCTAGGATATTAAACAATTTCTTTATTCTAGTTTCCCATGCAACTCCTTTGCCACTATTATCCCAATAAATGGTTTCTATCTTGCATCAATTAGGGTTAGGATATAAGTTCTACCAACATGCTGTTTTTTAACTATGAAAACTTGGGAAGATTTTTAAGATAACATTAATCAAATTATCAATTTTTTTTGTTAATTTTAATTAACCTAAGTTATTGTTCTGGAATAAAAGAGAGGGGTTTTAGGTTTTTTCCTTCCCTTTTATAATCAAATTTTCATTTAGGATTTTTCTCTTGGTGCATTTATCAAACCCAATAATATCTTATTCCCCGTACTATCTACACATTGGACCCATTAAGTATCAATCAAGTTCATCTCCCCAAAATAGGTTTATCTTGACCCACTTTACTTTTGCAGTTGGACTCAAGCCCAACCAGACCCAATCACTATGCGCATACCACAGCCCCCAAGTCTTAAATTAGAAAAATATTTCTAATGCAAATACTAAAAACCGAAATAAACGTTGAATACACTTCATTCCTTAATATTTCATGATATAATTGCAAAGTTCAACGACTTAAAGAGAATAAACAACCCTTAAAAATCATACTTACAGTGACCGTCGTCTTGATGTAAAGTGTGAAAATTGCTTCCACGTGTACTTGAATTTAGACGAAGATTAACCTGCTTAAGTCGCATTTCGACCATAGTGCGTAGCTCGCATTTCGAGTATAGGTCGCATTTCGATCATAGTGCATATTTTGAGTCTAGGTCACATTCTGACCATAGTACATATTTCGTACATAGTCCATATTTCCCACATTGCTCGGATTTCGAGTCTAGGTCACATTCTGACCATAGTACGTATTTCGTATATAGTGCGTATTTCACACATTACTCGAGTTTCGAGTCTAGGTCACATTCTGACCATAGTACGTATTTCGTACATAGTACGTATTTCGCACATTACTCGGGTTTCGAGTCTAGGTCACATTCTGATCAAAGTACGTATTTCGCACATTGTTCGAGTTTCGAGTCTAGGTCACATTCTGACCATAGTACGTATTTCGTACATAGTGCGTGTTTCGCACATTGCTCGAGTTTCGAGTCTAGGTCGCATTTCGACCATAGTACGTATTTCGTACATAGTGCGTGTTTCGCACATTGCTCGGGTTTCGAATCTAGGTTGCATTTCGACCATAGTACGTATTTCGTACATAGTGCGTGTTTCGCACATTGCTCAGATTTTGAGTCTAGGTCGCATTTTGACCATAGTAACAAAAGACTTCATATGAATTGGAGTATTAAGGATTGATTATAAATTGGTTAAGAGAAGTGGAAGAATTTTGGATCATCTTAATTACGTTACAAAATATATTCAATCTAATTTTTCATCCTAAATAAACCATTAAAACAATTTATTAATTTTCTCTGAATAAATTATAACTATAAAGATTGATATGATAGATGTGATTTTGAAATTGTGTATCTCAATTAACACTTTTTAATAAATAAGAATAAAAATGAATATGTTTGATACTAACTACGCATCAAAAAGATAAATGTAAATATTTTAAAAAAACTATAATAATTAGGGTTCAATTTTGAAAGAATATACTTATACATGAAATGCAATAGAATGACTTTAATGTTTGTTATTTAATTTTTTTCTTAATATTTATGTAGTTGTTAGATAAGATCTCATTTATTATCAATCACAATATTAATTTAATCTTATTGTTTCTAAAGATATTTTAAGATTAAAGATAAACGTGTTAATGAAATTTTAAGATAATAATACCATTTATTTTTAATTTTTACCTTACTACAAGTAAATTTTAAACTCATATTTTAAAATATTTTAACATAAATTAAAAATAATTAATAAAATATACGAGAAATAATATAATGAATTCCATATTTTAAAAATTATTTCTCTTCTTTTCACTCACACCAAATATCTTATTTTATTTTCATCTTCTTCTTCCTATACATCTACACAACCAAATAATAAGGTATCATTATCAATATCTTTAAGTCTATTAAAATAAAATAATTAAAAATATTATTCTCCGACTAAAAAAACCTAATAGCTAAGAATAATAATTATAAATAATTGTATACTTTAACCTATTCATTATTTTCTTTATAACAAAATTTTAATGAAACTAAATATAAAACCTACAATATATTGAATGCTCATATATGATAGTATAACAATATAAACAAAACACATATTAATAAAATATTTATTTAATTAATTATATGAAAACTAGTTACATATAATTTTAAATTGAAATATTTGTTTTAGTAAATAATTATAATTTTAAATAAATATTTGTTTTAGTAAATAATTAGATACAAGTTCATTTTTCTTACTCCGTAAGTATTAAATAATTTTACATTATATTTTAATATAAAAAAGTTATATCCACGAATCATAAAAAAATATATAATATTATAAAATTAAAATTAAATATTAATATTATAAAAATAAAAATTAATAATAATATTATTTTTCGTGAAAAAATAATAGTTTTAAATGATGAAATAAATATTTAACGTGTTCATCATATACCACTCAAAATTCGTGAAAGTAAAGAATTTTATTTTATTTTTTTACTCAAAATTCGTGAGGGTGAAATTTTTTTTTTTTTTCAAAGAATGAATGTGTAAACCTGGATTACACAAAAAGACTGAAAAATTGTGTATGAAGGACAGAATTCAAAACAAGAAAAATATTATGTCTTATCACAGTGTAAGTTAATAATTCAAAACTGTCATACATCATCAGAAATTTGGTATAGCTTACAAAAATAGGTTTGAACTAAACATCATAACTACAGCAAAATTTTAACATTCAATTAATAGAAGTCGCAAAACTTTCAGCAAAATCTAAAGAATTTTAAAAAAATCAAAGAAACAATAATCAAAGAAATAATAATTGTTGGATAATTCATGGTAAAAATTAAACGAGATACAGGAAGTCATAACTTACCACGATGAAAATTAATTTGAGTATTCAAAATCACACAAACAGCAAGTGAACAAAACGGGTGCGTTTTTGGGGAGAGTTAGGGCTTGTGGTTGTGCAACTCCATACAGTTGCAAAGACGAAGTTGCAGAGACGGAGGAGGAAGGAGCAAGAGAGGAACAATGGGTGCGTCTAACGAGTCCTTCGGGGATTTGTTTATAAACCCAGTTAGGGTCTTGATTGTTGGTACGAGTCACCATGATTGTTTTGAATGTGGAGTAGGAAAAGTTTTATCTGCCCCACGGTGGACACCAATGTTCTGGAATAAAAGAGATATGTGTTTTTAGGTTTTTTTCCTTCTCCTTTATAATCAAATTTCCCTTTAGGGTTTTTCTCCTGACGCATCTATCGGGCTCAATAATATCTTATTCTCGTACTATCTACATATTAGGTCCATTAGATATCAATCAAGTTCATCTCCCCCAAATAGATTTATCTTAACCTACTTTACTCCTGTAGTTGGACTCGAGCCCAACCGCACCCAACCTCTATTCACGTACTCGTTATATACATTAATTTATTATAATATAAAATATATAGAAATTATTAGAATACAAAATTATTACTTACTCCTCGAATAAACAGCACACGACAAAGCTGTTAAGAGAGGGAACGAGAAAATTTACTATCTATAATTTTTAAAAAAATTATACATGTTAAGAATATTCATAATATATTATTTAAAAATAATTTTATTAAAACATTTTCAATTTTTATTAACGTAAATATATATTAGAAGAAGAAAAACTAATGTTGCATTTTAAATAAAATATCAGAAAATTTCTTTGTCATTTCAAATGTAGCTACAGTTACAAATATTATATTTAACTGTGGGAATCAATATGTTTATGTTGTTTTCGCTTTTTTATTATTATGTGAAACGTGGGAGAGGGAGTTTAAAAAAATTGTAATCAAACAACTAAAAAAATGACAAATTTTTATTTCTTTATTTATTAATTATATTTAAATAAAAAATATTATTTTTTATTAATTTTTAATTTTTAAATTTTTAATTTATATTTTAAAAAATTAAGAGAAATATGTATTTAAAAGAATGAAAAATAAATAATTTTTATTTTGTTTTATTTATATTGAGAGATAAAGAGGTGTGATTGTTATATTTACATTATCAAAATTATTTTGAGACGGAGAAGGAGGGAAGTAAAACTGTGTCATGAATAAATCACATGAGCTTAGTGGAAAC